TTAGACAACTTTGTTGTCACTGAAAAAAAAAGGTATTTTAGTATCCTTTGCTAAAGTCCTTTTCTTCTTGTAGAGCAATACATAATTTAATAGCTATAGCAGGCTGGTTTCACGGCTGCGTAGTCTCTCAGGGAGGGTTCCTACCTTAGAAGGTCCCCATACTGGATATGTTCTGAGCTTCAGCTTCTTTTAATTCTAGTTGCTAAAACACTCGGCTTTGTCCATTCTTGCTCTTTAATTTGCCTCAAATTTTTAGTTAGATAAGCATTATATTCTTGGGGCAGGAGGAAGAGAGGACACTTTTTTTATGGCCCATCTTCAGAGTTCCCAGTGGCATAAATTAAATGTAATTTTATTAGAGGCATAAACAATAAAAACAAGAAATTTTACTGGTGAGAAAGATATACTTGAACAGGGGAAGTTAACTGCTTACCAATATCAATCTTAAGAATCAATGAAAAATATTAACCCTCTTTTTAGGAAAAGTCAGTGTATCAAAGAAATTGAAAGCAAAATAAAAAAAATTTATATTCAAAATGCATTAGTAGGTCAAAATGAGACATGATCACCCATCATTGATGAGACGTATTTAAGGTAATGTAACTTTCAAACACTTATCAGGTACAAATTATTCTTCTACATAATTTGCTTTCCTTCCTTTTAAAAATCACTGTATATTAACAGACAGAAATATGGATGCTTATTATTTTTGACTTCTAGTTCAAAATAAAAAAATGTGCATAAAAAAAAGAAGGTCCCCATACTTGGATTAATGCTCTGCCATCATTGTCTTGAAATTCTTATGAAGTTTTGACCAAGGGGCTCTGCATTTTTAGTTTGCACTAGTTCCCACAAATTATGTAGTCCTGTAGCTATGCCTATGTTGTCTCCTAGTATTGCATTATTTCTCCTAAAAGACTGAAAGTTTCCAGGGAGCTTTACTTTTTTAGTGTTTCTCATGCCATTCCCAAAGATGCCTCTCACACTAGTGGCCATAAGGCCCCACAGAGGGCTGAGACTTTGGTGCCTTCATCTTTCCATCTATGTGCCTAGCTCAGAGCTTGATACAGAGCAGGTACTGAATGAATGGGTGAGTAAATGAATACCAAATTATCAATATATACCCGTTGACTTATTTAACAAAACAGTCAAACTTTTAGTAGTTTTAGATTTGCAGTGAAAGGTGACTAGGTGGGTTGGGAAAGATTCAAGGTAAAATATTAAAGGAAAGAAGCTTTCTTGAAAAGAATAAATAGAATTGAATTGATGGAAAGTTTAAAGCAAGTAAGATTGAAAGACAGGTTGAACATCAAGTTGAATAAGAAGGGGTGAGTGGTTAAAAAACAGCGAGATATCTCTCAACAAGTTACGTCCTAGGGTGGAGTCTTTCCTCTCAAATTCAATTTAATAAACATCAGATTCATTCTGTAAGTTGTAACACAGGAAATGAAAATTATTGTCCAAGTTTTGAGAAAGGAGAGCATATAAGGTATGCATTCAGGAGGAGCCAAAGGATTATTGATTATTCTTTGACTATTCTAAGAGTTCTTGACCTACTGTTTTGTATTAATAAACAGAGTAATATGAATATAAAATTTTCATGAAGAAGTGAATTTTTAAACTCTTTCTTCTGCTTCTTGGCAGAATAAGCAGAACTCATGTTCTGGTCCCAGTTACCGCAGCTCAGCTAAACACATTTTATTCTTTAAACCAAGATAGTTTCCTACTCTTATATTGGCTTGGGAAAACATAATTCTAACATTCATTTTTGTAAAATAAAGTAACAAAAAACTAACACTCCTTTCTCTGGAGTCTTTAATATTGTGTTTGATCATCTCTCAAATTGCTTGGGAGTTATCGGTTCTTTACAAATCGTGTACTCTCCCATGTTACCTCTTGATGATCAATGTCCTGTGCCCTGGATAACATAATACAGTTCTATCCATCTGTAAAGTGGTTCCCTATAGCATTGTCTAGTCTTACTTTCTGTTTTGTTGCTATATCACACTTGAATAAGTGACTTAAATTGTGCACAGATGTCCAGGTGTGGCTTTAACTTCCTTTTGTATTTCAGCAAAATAATTTATTTTAACATATTCATTACTTCTATTATGGCTCTCCAAATTATTTGTGGTGCTGCAATAATGCTGGTTCACTGAATATTAAATATGTGAAAGCAAGTGATTTTATGCTTCAGATGATTATTTATGGGAAAATTCAATTTTTGGAAGATGATAAGAATAGTGGAAAAGAGGTGAATAAAAGAACTGACATTCACAAGCAAAATGAAGCAACAGTGGAAACAAGCATTTGGGGGAAATATAGCTTTAAAGTAGTTAGGAACACTCAGATTCTAAACAGGCAATGATGAGGTCTTAGGGCTACACACCTGAGCTCCAATTTGATATCCTTATGAGGCCTGGAGAAAAATTTCAGGACTTGGTAAGATGCACAAAAGAATTTCATAGACTGTCTTTAATGGGAAAGGAGATGATAAAAAAATAGCTTCCATCAATCTCGGGGAACACAGATTTTTTTCTCCCCAAATCCCCACTAAAATAGAATTACAGGGTTATAGAAATTTATCCCTTGCCACCCAAGAATGTTCCTCATGCTCAACATTGAGCAAAGTGAACTGCTGAGACAATCCAATGATGGTATTGTATAGGAAGATGTATGATGGAGTTGTCTTTGCTGTTCCCATTTTTATGTGACACATACTTGAATAAATGCACCTTAAGGATTCTGCTGCTGGAATTGTAGCCATCATTAGAAAAACTCTATTTAAAATGCTCAACTTTTGTCCTATGCCCTGTATTATTAGAATTCCCCAAGTTTACAAATCAATGAATGGGAACGGGAGAAAGAACGGCAGGGTAAGACTATTTTGAGTTTTATTTCACAAGCCAACCTGGAAAACAGCAATAGTCAAATATCCAAGTTCCTTCAATTATCAGGAGCTGTTAACAAAAATAGTAAAATTAAAAAAAGAGAGGAACCAAAACCCCTAGTTAAGTTTTTAAATCTGTCTAAGACCAACCAGGCAGAAAAGGCAAGCTATTTTCACTAATTTTAGATAAGTAAAGCAACTATATAATAGAACATTGGTGACTTGATCAAACTCACTTTGAATGAAAGCTTGAGTTGAATGTTGCATGAATATTCAGACAATAGCAACCTGTTTGAAATTTCTTTTGAGTGTAATTTCGACATTTATGCATTTTATCTTCTCCCAGGCATAAAGCCAAAGGCTAAAAGAGCAGAACACAAAAAAGCTGAACCTGAATTATGTTCTAAACTCTGTTGAGTTTAATTTTACTTACAAAGCAGAATGTTGGTTTAAATTTGCCCCTCACAACCCTGTAAAAATACCTAGTTTCTTGTTATCAACCTCTAAATTGTGTTATTCATTTGGAAAGCTCCAATTTTAGGAGCATCATTCTAAATTACTAGGCAAGTGCTACACAATAAATACACATAATCGAAAACAGACCACAGCAAGAGAAGAAAGCAATTTTCCATAAATCTGACTGCAATATGGAGCTTGCAGTTCCATGAGCCTTATAACTTCAAAAGGCATAAAAGAAGAATTTTTACCTAAATGGAATATCATGAGAGGATGAGCACTTTAAAAGGTTGATGTTTTGTAAAAGGGTAATACAGATACACACTTGATATAAATTTGGAGAAAAGTTCAAATAACCTTTTGAATAGGAACACACCAAAAAAAGGACAAAGTGCCACTCACTCAGACGCACACTTGTTTCAAAACAATATTTTACTTGGATCAATGATGGATGCACTACCAAAAATCAACAAACCTTTGATAATACATACAACTAAAACAAAGAGATGATGAAGCTTACTATATGCCTTATGTTTCCTACTCAAGATTTTTATAATATTAATGAATTCTTAAAAGTCATGATTGGAAAACACTTCAAGTAGATAAAAGACACATAGATCTAAAATATAAGTTTTTGCTATAGATTGAATTTTTATTTGCAGAGATCATGCAAAGAGTCTTAGCATACAATACTCACATCACTCAAAATGTAATTGTTTAAAATCAAAAAAGGAGAGGCACTAGGTGAGATTCTGTTAGTGTTCTAGTTCTTGAATTTAGTTTCATGGTATATTCATATTTGATTTTTCATTGAGGTATACACTTGTACACAAATAATTTGTGGAGTTTTCTGTAGGTATATTGTATCTCAAACTAAAAGAAAGAAGAGAAAAGAAGGAAGGGAGAGAGAGAGGAAGAAGGGGAGGAAGGAAGAAAGAAAGGAAGCAAGGAAGGGAGGAAGGGAGGAGAGAGAGAGATAGAAAGAATATGCATGCTAGGAGCTGCATTTCCCATACTGGGGAATAATGCGCTAAAAGAAATTAATGCTGTAGTCATTTACTTAATTCAAATAAGATGTAACTTTATAGGGTTGCAGAATTCGGCAGCCCAGTTCATAGTGGAAACCACTTAACTGTCATTTATGCACAGACTCTGTTTGACATTTTCAGACTTAAAAAACCCCTGTCACTGAACAGTGGCAAATGCCACCATATTAGGCATGCAGTTTTCCTGTTTTGGGAAGCAGAATTTAGAAGTTAGTGGAGGGAAAAAAAAAAAAATGCCTAAGGGTTCCACTAGCTTTGCATTTGAAAAACACACATCTACACACAAACAAATTTTCTCTCAGTCCAAGTATCTGTGGCTCCACTGTTTAAAATTTCTGTTTGGCATTAAGTTGGTGAAACAATAAGTGACCCCTTACTACTGAAGGTGTTTTAGACCCTGAAGTTGGATCTACCGGTTTTGTCTGTTACTAAGAAGCAGTTTTCCATGTGATCTTTTCAACGGCAAAAGGTTAAGCAAAAATGACATATATTGTAAAATTGAAAGTAAAATGCACAGTACTGATGTGCTCAAAGTCCATGCATTTAAATTCCTTTGTATGATAATTTATGGTGATCATGTCTTCGGACTGCACTATTAGCATACTCACCCCTAACCAGAAGTTCTGCCTCATCTGACACACTGTCTGCTGTGGTCTGTACCCTGCAGCCATATCTCCCAGCATGCATCAGAAGGATGTTCCTGATCATTAAATCTGCAGAGGATGCTTGCTGAAAGAGGGATGAAGTGCCAGTTTAAAATGTTGCAAATCTGCCTAGTTCAAGGTGGTTTAAGGGGAATTTTGTACATTCAGTCATAGGGCCCATTTTTGTCCTTACAATTTATATGACAACAATACAGAAATCAAACATGCCCTATTTTAAGGAACACATGGAAGTTATGTTTTCAATGACTGCTAATAAAGAGTTTGAACATTAAATATTTCATATCATGATTCAGCAGCTAAGATATTTAAGAAATATTTAAATATGCATAAACATTCATATATTTAAAAGTATAGGAAAAATAATCAGTGAGCCAAAATTATCGCTTTGACATTCAGAGACAGGCCTATATTGTGGCAAGACAATAGTTTTGAAAGGAAGAGCAACGTGTGGAAATTAATTATGAGAAGATAGCAGTCCAAAGATTATCTTGTGCAGCTTTATTGAATGATTGTTTTTGTAAGTACACTGTAGGCAACAGAGTGAGAGTGCTTGGGTGGAACATTGCTGGTGCAAAGCCATGTGTCTTTACTTAACGAAGATTTATTCCTCCCATAACCGCCACCATCAGGGAGTAGGGTCAGCCTGTATTTCTGCTAATCAGTGTAGTTATGAAACACAAAGGAGTTTTGAAACACTTGATTCTTGTTGGGAGCATGATGATTAGAACATAGTTGAAGAACAACTGCAGTTAAGGAGATGAATAAGTATCTTTTAGATGTATCAGTTCATGGGATTAGTGATGATCCTACACATTAGAATGACGGGTACAGACTTTCATTACTTAAACTTGGCTTTCATTTACTCTATCAGGAAAGACAGATTTGTGTGTGTGTGTGTGTGTGTGTGTGTGAACATCCAAAGATCTGGAATTCACAACTCATAAGGTATTTCTTCAGATAACAACATAGCAAAACTCCAATACACTCTTCAGTTTTCATGTTGCAATAAAAAAATTGGCTGGAATGAGTGTAGATGCATATAGCTTGAAACGATATTTTCAAAGAACTCAACACTTCTCTATAACAGTAGTTGAGTATATGAAAGGATGTTTAATGCAAGCCAAAGAGAAGCACTTCAGATTAGAGATCTTTTATTTTTTGATGGAATAGGTGAATTACCTTAAAAAAAAAGTGTATTTGTCCTCAGAGGGCAGTATCCCAATAATTATTTGAGTTTAGTTGCTTGCCTTTATTTTGATATAGACTAATGGGTTATATAAAAACCATAAAAGTGAGAAGAATTTCTAGAAATTCTTTGGATTCTTTTTTCTTTCCTTAGGGTTCATTGAAAGTGTGTGAAGTCATTGGAAGTTTTTACCTGTCAAATTATGTGTATTTATTTAAATGAAATGCTTAACTGTATACTATGTTTTAAACCACTTTTTTCTGGTATTTCTTTTCTGTTTTTTTTTTCCTTTCTATTGGTCTTATGATAAGAACTTCTAAAGGTATTGAAGTTTTCTCATGAAATAATTGTTAAGACATAGTCTGGTTTAGTCATTTACAAGGGAATGCTTCATGGTAAGAATGCATTAAAATGTCATAACAATTATTTCAAAGAATGTGATATTTGTCCAGAGAATGTCCTACGCTGCTAATTTCCTTGGGATAAATTGGTACTCTTAAATTTCATTTTCTCATCTATACTGGACTAAGTGTTTACTTCTTTCAAATCTGAAAAGGAAATTTATACTTTAAAACTCTTTGATTTAATATGGGTATACAAAAGCAAATTATAAACATTATAAGCTATAATTCAGTTTCAAATCAACATAATTTAATACTTATAAATAAGCTTTGATATTTTTATCACTTTATGTAGTATGGGTCCATCTTAGGTGTGAAAATTTCTTTTTCCCCTTGGATTTCAAAGAAGCTCTCCTAATAGGGTACTCAAATTAATCAGGAATCAATACATACACTCTGAACCCAGAATGGGGCCTATGTCTAATGGAAAAGCCAAGGATAGGTCCAGAAAATCATAAGGGACTTTTATTATTTCCAGAAATATGCTTATGGAAGACTGTGCTTGGTATTTTTTGTTTTGTTGTTTTTTTATTTGCTTGTCTATTTTCTAATATCACAAACTGATTGGTGGTAGTTTAACAGTGGAAAAAGTAATGATTAAAAGTCATTTTCCAGGCTCACATTTTTGAAAAATTATTTTATAAAATCACATTCTTGTGATTAAATAATTGATTGTCTTATTTTCCAGAACCTTTTCTTCCCAAATTATTGATTTCTTTTTGTCCTGGATAAAAGTCCTCAAACCTTTGTCCTTTCTGTTGAATTATAGTAAAAGAAAAGCTTAATGAGATTAAGATGAGTCTTCACTGAAAATCACATAAAGATTTGAGGAATTCAGGAGGGTGAGGTATAGATTATCTTTCCTATGCTGTCTTTTACTTGTTTCCTGCAATTAATAGTGTGCAATACTTTATTAGCTGGCTGAAGCTCCATCACCATCTATCAGGAATAAAAAGTCTAGAGTTTATTGCATTTCTGTCAATGTCAAGACTATTTGAGGAGTTGAAATAGTCTCATTTTGGGCTCATCCCTTCTCTTTTGGATTATACCTACGTTATATTTTTACAATTCTAGACAGGGAAGATTAAAAGTAAAATGAATGGATTGTGAACACTAAACCTAAATTACCCATTCAGTAGATTTACTGATCTTTCAAGAGAAGTAATGAGAAGAATTCATGGGGAACCCATTATACTTAATCTCAATCCACAGTATGCAGTTCCTGAGAGAGAACCTCCACAATTTAGTGCACTTTTAATGAAATGGTTACTTACAGCAGATGCTTGCTTTCTTAAGCTTAAACCTCATTTTCACTTTTTCTCTCTTAGGAGTTATTCTCTTTTCTTGTTTTGTTTGACACTTACTTTATATCCTGTCTTTTCTTTGCTGCTTTTTCTGGCTTTATGAATAAACTGTGTTACATGTTGTTTCAAATGAACTTCCCCACAACCAGTACTTAACATAATGCTCCAAGCATTGTGCACCTAGCATTGTGCATGCCACATAGCAGGAGCTCAATAAATATTTGTTGAATGGCTGAATAAATGAAGACTCTTTAAGAAAGAGGCTGTTACACTTGTTTTGGGCATAACATAATGCATAGACTAGTCAAATTGCCATATTGTACACCTGAAACTAATGTAACATTGTATATCAACTACACTTTAATTAAAAAAAAGAACAAAGAAAGAGGCTGTATGTTTACTCTCTGTGAGAGCAGCAACATGGCTAAATCATTTACATTTCTTGGTCACATAGTCTCACTAGAGCAGTTGCTAGATTATTGTAATTTTTATTTATGCTTTGAAATAATACAGGAACTGTCATCCTTCCACTCAAGTCCAAATCTTTATTGGCTTTCACTTTGACTAAATGTCCTCATCCCACATAAGACTGTTAGTTAAGACTTCTTAAAAATGGAAGCACATATAACTTTGCTGTTCAAAGTGTGTGCTGGCTCCTATTACCTTGTGGATTAAGTCCAATCTCCTCACTTCAACACAGAAGGCTCCTCAGAACATGATGCCACCTCCTATGACAGAATCCTGTGCTTCTACAGCTTTACTCTCACCTTTTCTCATCCATGGGACTACTTCCTATAATTCTGCCTGTTGTTCTGTTGCAGATGCTCTTTCTCCTTTCTTCGCTTGAGAAGATACTTTTAGACAGCTCGAAGGCCTTCTCCTTGGTAAAGTCTTTCTGGACTTTCTGGGCTAGACTTCATTAGCTCTGCCACTGTTTAGTTATGCTCATGTCTCTGAACTAGCACTTGATGTTCTTGGAAGTCACCCCCAAGGTCTACTATGGATAGTCCCAGAGCTGAGCTTGGTGCTAATGTAGCCAATGATCACTGGGTGAGCTGATGAATGCATGAAATGACTTGTTTCCTTCCTTCTCTGTGCCTGACATACCTCCTCATTCCCCTCATTTTTTTTCTTTCAAAGAAGTTAGGATGGGAAATAAGAAAAGATCATGGAAAAAGACAGTGGAAAAAAGGTACTTAAAGAGTATATACAGATTTTAGAAAGACACAGAATTGTGTGAATTCTTGCTCTACCACTTATTAAATTTTTAATTTGGGAAAATTACTCTACCATGCAAAACTTCTCTCACAGCTGCAATGTGATAATGCAAGTAAAGCCCATAGCAATATCTAGCACATAGTGAGGGTTTGATAAATGCTATCTGTTAATAGGACACTATAATCACACTCTTAGCCAAGACAAATCTTTCTTTAATTGGTATTCACTCCTTTGACAAGTGTCTATCAATGTTTTCCATAGATATAGTAATTTTTCTGATAAGTACTTAGTTTTATTTTGTATATATATATAGGTATCCGCTCCTATAAGGAAACTACTGCACTCAGAATAAGAAAACCTGAATTCTAGCCTTAGTTTAGTGACTTCCTAACCTTGCAACTCTGGGAAAGTCACTTTATTGGGATAATAACTGCACTATCTCTTTCATGAGGGAAATCAAGTGAAACAAAGTACATACATACATGAACTACTGGGAAATTCTTCAAAAGTGTAAAATATTCTTTTTTTTTTTTTTTTTTTTTTTGACAGAGAGAGAGACAACGAGAGAGGGAACACAGGCAGGGGGAGTGGGAGAGAGAGAAGCAGACTTCCCGCGGAGCAGGGAGCCCGATGCGGGGCTCGATCCCAGGACCCTGGGATCATGACCTGAGCTGAAGGCAGACGCTTAACGACTGAACCACCCAGGCGCCCCAAGTGTAAAATATTCTTAAAGCTTTTCTTTTTAAAGCAGGATTTAGCAGAATGCTGTGCACATACTAAGCACTCTGAGAATCTTTGCGGAATGAATCATCCAAACAACAAGATAGCTTAAATTGAGTATTCTTGTAAATAGGACTCATGCTGAATGACTCTGTGAGAAGCCTGCTGGGGATGGCTGTTTCTGTGCCCTCATTTAGGGTTTATTTAACTTTCTCAAGAGGCTCACATAGGGCAT